GGCCTTCAATGACTTATCAAAAAAAAAAAATATTTCACCAGGCATCTGGCATCTACTAATCCATCAGACTGACACAAAATTAACCATCTGTCTTAGTTATTTTTCCCTCATTGCTGGGATAAATACCTGACACTCAAAATGAAGAAAAGATTTAGTTTACAGTTTGTGGAGGCTTCAGTACATACTTCACTGGCTTTAAGGCAAATGGCAACTGTACTAACAAATGCTGTACCAACAAATCCAAGGTGAGAGTGGAGTCACTGCTGTGACTAAACCTGACCATGTGGATTACAAGCTTTTGGGAATGGCTTATGGGAAGAGGTAGGAAAAGTTCAAAGATGTCACCTACAAGAGAAGTGCTGGAACAGCTTCTGTTTTGTTTGGCAAATTCCGGTCAGAGCTCAAACCAGAATGCTGACAAAAATCCTGCCTGGAAAGACCAGGCTGGGGATGTCTCTGCTGGGAAGAAAGACCGTATTGGTTGCTGGACTGCGGGTGATTTGTGTTATGACTCGGCAGAATGTTTGTCTGCATTTTGCTCCTGTCCAGAGACTTTGCCTGAGACCATGATTAAGTGCAATGGACTAGTTAATCTTGAAAAAGCAATGTCAAAGCAGCAAAATATTGGGGCAGTGGCGTGGTTGTTGTTGTGGGGTTTTAGTCAGATTTATGTTGAGAATGAAGAGCAAAGAACCCAGCAGGATGATTTAAAATGTTGTGAGTTTGGCCAGAAAGAAAGCTCCAATAAAATTGTGGAACACCAAGATAGAGCTGAGAGGATCTCCATTGCTGAGAAGCAACAGGAGAGTAGAAAAGATGTCCTGAGGGCATCACAGGAGGTGACAGGTTCTCACCCTGGCCATGGGCTCAGCAACACGGACTCCCACTCACCAAGGCTAAATCGGCTACAGCCACTGCTGAATGCCCAATATCCAGCAACAGAGACCAATACTTAGTCCACGATATGGCACCATTTCCCAGGCTGATCAGCCTGAGACCTGGTGGCAGGTTGACTATATTGGACCACTTCCATCACAGAAAGTATTGTACTTTGTCCTGGCAGAGACACATATTCTGGATATGCATTTGCCTTTGCTGCACATAATACTTCTGCCAAAACTACCATTAATGGACTTACACAATGTCTTATCTACCGCCATGGAATTCCACACAGCATTACTTCTGACCAAGGAACACATTTTAGAGCCAAAGAAGTAAAGCAGTAGGCTCACACAATTTCCTGGTCTTACGTTCCTTACCATCCAGAAGCAGCTGGATTGAGAGAGAAGTGGAATGGTCTTTTGAAGACAGTTACAGGGCCAGCTGGGTGGTAATAGTTTTCAGGGCTGAGGTAAGGTACTTCAGAAAGCTGCATATGCTTTGAATCAGCACCCTGTATATGGTACTGTGTCTCCCATAGCCAGGATTCATGGGTCAGGAATCAAGGGGTGGGAGTAGGAATGGTACCATTCACCATTCCCCATAGTGATCCACTAGCAAAATACTTGCTTCCTGACCCCACAACCTTATGTTCTGCTAGACTATAAGTCCTACTCCTGGCGGGGTAGGGGGGAGAGGATTGTATCAGGAAGCACAGCAATACCATTGCACTAGAAGCTAAGATTGTCCCCTAGTCACTTTGGTCTCCTCATACCTCTGAGGAAACAAGCTAAAAAGGGAGTCACAGTGTTGTCAGAGGTGACTGACCCAGACTATCAGGGGGAAATTGGATTATTACTCCACGATGGAGGAAAGGAAAAATATACATGGAGCGCAGGAGATTCCTTGGGGCGCCTGTTAGTATTGCCATGCCATGTTATTAAAGTCAATGGGAAATTACAAGAATCTAATACAGGCACAATGATAAATGGTTCAGAGCCTTCAGGAATGAAGGTATGGGTTACTCTGCCAGGGAAAAAACCAAGACCTGCTGAGGTACTTGCTGAGGACCAAGCGAATACAGAATGGGTAGAAGATAGTTCTAAATATCAGCTACAACCCCATGATCAGCTACAGAAAAGGGGATTATAATTATACTATTTTACCCCCATATATGGTTCCATTATAATATGGACAGATTTGGTACTAGACTTTAGGATTATCAAACCTGTGTTAATGTTGAAACATAAGCATCAAGCAAAGAAAACTTACCTTCTATTTTGGCAAGGGTATTAGTGTGTTTCCGTTTTATGCAGAATAGTTGTAACAATATCAGGCGTAATTATGTGCATACCTCTGTATCTGGAGACTGGCTTAAAGAAATATGTCTAGTTGCCAAGTTGACAAGGGATGGACTGTAGTGATTGATACATTGTGTCAACTTGGGTGGATGACTCCCTTGATTCTGGGCTGTGGAAGCCCCACCCTGCAGGGGAGGGACCACCCTGGGGTGTGACAGGCCCACCTGAGTGACTCAGCTCAAAAAGACAATATAAGAGGCCTGAGGAAGGCATCTATGTTCCACTTTCTCTGAGGAACTTCAGTCTTTGCATTCGGCTTGGACTTCATCGCCTGACTTGCAGCACAGACTCTTTGGTCTCCAGCTTGGATTCTTCAGCTTTCCGTCACACTCTTCAGCTTCCATTGCAGTCTCTTCAGCCTTCTGTTGCAGACCCATTAGCCAACTAATAGAGACTTCCATGGAGCACTGAAGTGAGCTTCAGACCTTCAGACTGAATCCTTCAGCCTCAGGTATGCAGACGCCCTCTGCACACTTCCTCATCTGACTCTGTGGCTGACCGTCGTAAGCCAATCTTGTAATTCCCAATACAACTGTACATCTTGTGTTAATATCTGCTCCTTATATCTAATATACCATCATGCAAACATCTGTGGAAGGATGAAAGGATAGTACATACAAGAGTACACCATTCAGTCTTAAAAATAAACAAAATTCTATCATATATTATAGCACAGATGAACCCTGAATTATGCTAAGTGCAATTAGTCACAAAAAGATAGCACATGATTCCACGTATATGAAGTATTTTAATCAATTCATAAAAGCAAATACAATTGTAGTTATCTGAGATTTGGTAAAGAGAAAGAAGAGTTATTTCATTGTGAAAAGTTCTGGAGATCTGTTTTACAACAATGTGACTATAATTAAGACTACTAGATTACACACTTAAAAATAGTTTAAGATAGTTATAATTTTTACTACAATAAAACTGCATTTAAGAATAAGAACAAAGCAAAACAAAAACCTTGATTTCTACAAACACTAACCGGGGAATTTTACAAGATAATTTCTAACACAGAGAGTTCTGGGTCAGTAAGGACTGGAGGAGAACTTGCTGTGCCTCTTCCTTAGTGTGCATTTCTTCCATCCTTCAAGAGAAGAGCAGAGAACCTGTAAGCCAGAGGCACCATCCCCCCGCCAGGCTGTAACCTCTCTGTCACCCTGCACTGCTCTGCCACCAACTCAGCCACCTGTGAAGCACACACAGGGCAGTCTCTCAACTTAACGACTCTCACCTTGGTCCCCACAGATCCAGGTAGAAGGCAAGTCTGGGTCCAGCTTCAGGGAGGATGAGATTTGCCTCTAAATGAGTAAGATAAATTGCTATTTGACAGAACACTCACAAATTCTGTCAATCTTGCTTAGACAAGGGCTTGACTCCCCCTGAGCATACTATCCAGAAAGCTGAAACACAGGGAAAAAGGGAAGAGTGATACAGCCATGCCTATTATGGGCCAAAATGAATGCAGGATTAACTTAAAAATGTGAATCCTTCAGATGGAAAAGGAAGAGTAAGAGAATGAAAAGGAGTCAATACCAACAAATCAGGAATTTGGTTTATGCATCAAACGACCTCTCCTTTTGTTAACTTCCCCAAGGAGGCTCAAAACTGAGCAAAAGGCATTCACTCAGGACATCTCTTATGTCTGAGAAGCTACTCTTGTTTCCCCACAAACCACTCCTATTCTTAACCTCCTTTGTACTCTGGAATTCATTATTTGATTTCAGGTAACACAAACACATCTTATATCTATCTAGCAGGTTGGGAGCTGTATTTCTCCTGTATCATTTTGGAGAAATGGACACTAAGGAAGTTGTACTGAAATCTTTGGAAGAAGAGACTGTCCAACTCCAAGTAATCATTTGATAGAACCAACAACAAATGTACCACGTTCCTTTTACCAGGATCCACTACACTGAACTTGTAAAGTGAGTTCATAACTGCTAAACTACATGACTTCTATCCAAGGCCCATCAGAATAGCTCTCTGGAGAAGGCCCCTAACTACATTCTCCCCTTCACTGACCCTTCCTAGCTCTGAGCAGCTAGAATGAAATTTCACCTGTTTCCCAACAGCAGTTAGGGTTAGCTCTTCAGAGGGGACTATTAACAAAGAACAAAGTTATGTAGAAATTTTCAGGCAGCCAAACAGGGACAGGCCCTTGAGGAAGTCAATACAGAAGGCGAGAACACAACAAAACTACGACTAGAGGCGCATATGAAGGCAAGCCACAATGGCCAGAATTGCAACTGTGCTAAGGGACAAATAAAAATTTGAAATTATTACATTGTAACTGACATCACTCAGTCCATTAAATCCAAATATGTATTAGAAACTCCTATGGGTGACCAGAACATCTGGACCCATCCCTTTCCCAAAATGTCTGTTTCAGATGTCATAGATAAGCCAAGGTTAATGATGTCAGCCATACACCCTTATGTGCCCTGCTTCCCTACTAAATCAATGTTAGCTTAGAGGCTATATTTATAATATCGGGTATGTATAGTTTGATCCATGTTGTACCCATCTGATGATTTTGCTGTACAAAACATTCTTGGAAAAATGACCTTGGTAGCAACCCACTTCAGACCTCCCAAAGAACTATTCCTATTCCCCAATGAATCTCTCCTACTCTTTTTTTTTTTTGAGGAACGGGGGACTGAACTTGGGCTCTTGCGCTTATTCTATTGAGATATTTTCCCAGCCCTTCCCAACTCTTAAAAAAAAAAAAGTCCATAAATTCTAGCTTATTGTAAGTCTTCTTTATTTATAGTACAAGTCTCTAAAAGGTCAAGGTAGTTGTCTTTTAAATAACAGGTCAGGTATATAAAACAACTGGAACCAGAGTAGAGAAATATATACATTATTATACAATAAGTACTTTCAGTATTGTTAATTGAGCTTTTCATATTAAGACTATTATGATTTACAATGTTATTTCTCCAGTTTTAAAATTCAACCTGTCAAAAGACATAATGTACATTTTTTTTACAAAACTGAAAGCAGTATTACTAAAACTGCTAATGATTGTAGTTTTCATTTTGTATAATACACTGCACCCGTGTTACAAAAATGAACAGAAAAGGCATTGCACAAAATGTTTTGAATACTGCAGAAATTAGTGTTAACATGTAAGAAATAATAAACAGCCCAAGATTTCCCACTGGGCTCATTCATAAGTTTTCACCCATCAAGCTAAGCCAACTTTCGACAAGTGGATTATTTTCCATGGCAGTTTCATAAAGCCCACTGCTAATGAGTAAAATGCAAAAAAAAAAAAAAAAAAAAAAAAAAAAAAATTGATGACCACAATGCCATCACAAAACCTGATGCCAAGACCCTACAATTTACAATACTAAGTAAGAGCCTAAGCTAGAAAACCACTCACTGCTGAATCAAGAAAAAATTATAAAGACATTCTATAGGAAATTTTGAGTACCTATAAATTCAAAGTATGTAGTAGGTTACAAAAGAGCTTACAACAGCTTGTTCTCCTTATTTTTCTTAGGCTGATAAGAAAAAGGTACTGGCTATTTTTTAAACTTTTTGATGGCATCAAAAAGTATCACATTTACAAATAAGACTTTTACACAAAGCAACATATTGACACAGCTTTCTCCTGCTATTATTTTCAGAGTTCATATTGTATCCTACAGAAAGAAGTATTACGTTTTCATCCTCATTCATAATTTATTACCATTAATATCTCTAGGTCTTAAAAGGAAATTCAAGAGAAGAAAATAGTCATTCAATGTTTAAATTGAGTAGCATGGTATTTGAAACACCTTATACATAAGTAGTAGCCTAAACAAGAATTCTACTCAAAACAAAGAGTAAAATTTGTATTTCTTCTTCATTAATTCAATCTACATATCCATTTTTTCCCCCACATATCCATGTTTAAAGGCCAGACCACCTCTGTGAAGCAACAACTCTTGCTGAAGAATGCCTAACAATAAAATTATGAAAGAGGCAGCAGGCTCTAAAAAATTATTTTTCAAGTCATGGGCAAGGGAAAGAGAAACCAACAAACCATATTTTTATCAAGAACTAGTCTCACAGAGCTTTCCAATTCTGCAAATGATAATGAAACTAAAAAGAAACTTCCCAATTACAGCTGTGAGTAGGGGGACACTTTCTGTTTCTACAGAAAATGAAGAGGATAAGTAACTCTAAGGATCCTGACACAAAAAACAATGAAAAAACAAAAAACTGTTGGCATTTCAATTCAGACACAACATCCATTGTTCCTCTGTATGTAAAAAGTTAATAATGTTCTACCCATCTTTCCCTTCTAGTTTCTGACATTAAAACTAAAGTCAGTATTCTGTGTACCTTCAAAAGGCACATATGGGGCAAGGAGGACAATCAGATCTGTCTTAACTTGTTGGTCAATTTGCCTTAGTTCAAAATTATCCACGTTTTTAATAAGCAACAAATACCAAAACACTGCCTTCATTCTGCAAAGCATACTTTCTAAAATGTGTCATGTACTTATTATGCTGTATAACTAAACACATCCAACTATTTTTAAGTGACAATTAACATGCTATTCTTGGAAATCTGAAAACAGTATAATCCTAAAAACTATGAATCCCCTAAATCAGTCTTGTTACAGAAGAACTCAAGAGGAAATATTATGAGGCTATAGTACTATTTCCTCAAATTCAGTACTTCTTTCTACTTCAACTCCTTTTTTTTTCAGTACTATGGATCTAACTCAGGACCTTATGCTTGCTAGGCAGGCACTTATACAGCTGAGCTGCATCCCCAGAAAATTCAGTACTCCTTTCTAAAGTGAGCACAATTGCTGACTATTAAATAAGAAGTTCCTTACTATGAGTAACTATCAGCAGGTTTCAGCAGCAAAACTGGTCTATGTGTAGAAATTAGAAAACAGGACTTTCCATATTGGAAATAAATGCCACTTAATACTGAAAGGTATTTTACCCTTATAAAAACTAATCAAGTGCTCTCTTCTCACCCAATTTCTTGGGTTGGAACTAGTTTCTTTTTTATATCAGAATTCTTCCTTTATGGATTCAGCAACTGCAGACAATTACTAGTGAATCCTTTACTATGTTTTCCTGAAAAGGAGAAGGGAAATCTATTATATAAGCATATGCAGAGATATAACTACACAAGAGTTTGAAACAAGTTTTAAAATGCTGAAGAGGGGATTAAAGTTAATGGATCTAGCTTCTTGCACCCATAAAGATAGAATGTTGAAGCACCAAACATGCTAAAAACCAAGGTAAGCTGGAAAACAGAACATAACAGGATTCCCAATATATGTTAAATTATTCAGTAAAACAAAAAAGGTCAACCTGTTTAACTGGCCAATAATGGAATAAATCAGAATGTTTCTGAAAGTTTCAGAAATCCTGATAACATGTAACATTAAATTATTATTATATATGTACCACAAGACAAATTTAACAGATCCCCAATATTTTAAGTAAAAAGAATGTCTCAAATATGAAGCCAGGGTAGTCACAATCTATGATATGTATAGTTTTCTTCTCCAAACACTTACATTGGCAAATAAGACATCATACATCTACTCACCTCTAACCTTAACCCTCCAAAATGGATCTGTGTTTTCAGCCTAAATGAGAAAATATTCACACAACTTTCTAATCTATAGATAGCTTATTCACAGGTATCTAAAAAAAGTGCAAATCCATGGAGCCTTTTACCCTTCAGTTACAGACAGTCTTTAAAGAGACACAGAACTAAAAAGGCTTTTACACACAGTGGTAAAGTGATGAAGAAATACAATTATTTTGGTCCTTGTTCTTGCCCTCTTTTCTTCACAGTCCATTTCAGAATATATGCCTGACTTCAGCAACTGAGATCCAGTCCTGTCCAGTGGTCTGGTACCATAAGAAAATACTTGTCCATTGCTTCACAAAACCTAGTCCTATACAACTCTGGAGAAACCACAGTTGGCATTTTACCTACAATTATGAAAAATAAAAGGGGGAAAGCTGTTACATATGTAATTGACTGAGCAACTAACTTTAGCCATATGTTTCTTCATATAAACTACATAAAAATACACATACCACAGAACTCTAATGTAAGGGGGCATAATCTGCTGTACCCCCTGCACTAGACAGGGCCTTCCCTGGTATCATGTTTTATTTCAAAAAATGAGTTACTGCCTAGAGATAAGACATGTCTAAAGGCACAACTGAAGTGAGCAGTGCTTATTAAAGAACTCAGAAGATACTAATCTACAACAACCTCTTATTCAGAACCTCTGATTTTTTTCTTCTAAATTATTTTAGGAAGTGGCATTCTAATACAAATTTAAGCCTTCCATTTCCCTATGTACAACATTCCCCTTATTATTTTGTAACTCTGGAAATAAAATCAAGACAACTACATGAATTTTACAACTAAAAATAGTATTTACTTCTCAAATTTTAATTGATAAGGGGTCATGAGAATAGACTACGCAAAATAAAAATTCTGCTCACCTTGGCCTCCTAAAATTCCTGTTGATTTTACAACCATCTCAAGCTTTTTGTCCCATGTAAATGTTCGAATATAATCTGGAGGTGGAAAGATGAAGGCAAAATTAGCAGTAAAGTTATGTTAATAAATATAGGCAAATAACAGGAGCAATGATTATTACTACTCTTTTTACTAACTTTTTGCTGAGTGCTGGCTGACGATATGCCAGGTGCTACCTTAAGAATTTTGCCCACCCCATATTTGCTTACTCCTCACCACAAATTTACTTTGGTACCGTGGTTCATGCACTTAATTCTTTCCACAGTTCTGGTCACACATCGAATTGGTCAAGAACAGAACCAAATTTCTCAATAAGGTCAACACTGAACCTAACCACTGAATTTGATTTGGTTCTCATCCAATCCGGTTTGTAACCTGAGGTACCACTGTACATATTTTTGGTAAAGACAATGAAAATAGAAATAAAAAAAAAAAACAGAAAAGAAAGAATTAAAGTTGAAAACTATTTTCAAAATTTCTAATGAAAGTTTGTAAAAATATTCAATGTCAGATTCAACAGAATTATAAAGACTGTATGTGAGGTTTAATCATAGACTGAAGGAAGGGTACACCTATTAACTTACCTATAATTCCAACTACCAGCTCATTGCTAGTGTCATCTCGCCCAACCAGCAAAGAATAATCGATAATAAGGTGGCTAGAAAGGAAATGAGAGTCGCTATGGATGGCAGTCCTCAGCACGGCCTTGGAATGTGAACGAATATACAGGGGGTTGTCTCGAACCATCTTCAGAAGATTTTCATCCAGCAGGACTACATCACAACTCTCTTTTCCTGTGTCAGTTTTCACATTTCGATTCCTAAGTGAGCCCTTCAAATCAAAAACCTAGTGAAAGAAATTTCTTTGTTATTTATGTATGAGTTGGTACACTAGGTAATGTAATTAAAAAAGCAAAAAGACTTTACAGTCACTGTTATATCATAAACTTTATGTCATTAAATATATTGTAATACAAGTATATCATATGAAGCTATACAAACATATGCAATTACTAAAACATTTTAGGAATACTCTGCTCAAGTTAATCAATTTAAAGATACATTAACAAGCAACTACAAAAATTTATCATTAGATCATACAGCAGCATAAAGAAAAGATTCAAACAGTCTTAAAAACTTAAAGTTTTGATACCAAAACTGTTCAATTATTTACATTTATGGCAATGTAGAATTAACAGCATGACTTTAGGAATATTTAAGTAGGAAGAGCAGTGAATTCAAAGACCACAGAACTTGAGGACCAGTATGAGGCCTGGAGCATAGTCTGCACACCAGGGCTGTCCATCAACTCCCAGCTCAAGAAGATGATAAGGAGCCAGTGTCAAGATGACAAGCAAACAGATCATTAAGCACAGTGTAGGTTCAGCTGATGTTTTCCTCATAAAAGATGGTCTCAGTAAAGAAAGAACACCGGGTTAATCAGCAGTTTTCCCAACTCTGTACAGGCTGAGAAAAGCTCTAGGGTCAGTAGCCTGAAAAGTACTGTTCAAGAATAAGCTAGACTGCCCTAAAATCAAGAATAGCTGTGTGACTGATACACCAGGAAGAGCACTGCTCTGGAATAATCTAGGCCATGCTGGGGTCACAAACAGCTGTATGACCCTGATAAAGCACTTCAATTCTCTGAATCTCAGTCAATTTACTTTGAAACTTGAATGTATTCATTTCAGAAATGTTTTTCTAAATTTTACTCTGTCTACATCTTGTATCTTTCACATTTTAATATTTGTCTACAATTTTTAATTTGCTATATAATTATTATTGATTTTCAATAAAGTTAATAATGAGCTAAAAAAATTTACTTTTAAACTTAAAATAGTAGAAGTAAAACTACTCTCTTATTCTACCAACTATGTGATTCTAAAGTAACAGATATATTAAATTTTAGGACTAGCCCATAATAATTTACCTTTCTTCAGTAAATCAAATATTAAATCTCACCCAGTAGCCAGAGTTTAATGTTAACTATATAGTAAGATGAAACTCAGATTTATTACCTCCAAAAACTAGAAATACAAAAGTCCCCAAAAATGAATGCTTCACACAGTCCAATGTGCTTACCTGTGCCATCTTTCTCCCATAGAAAAGATTTTCCATGACAAGGAGGTCTAACTTCTTCTCAGTGTTGTTCTGAGAGTTCTTATAACCAATTCTATAAACGCCAAGAATTTTGGCCAAGGCAGTAGGCCTCTATCAAGGAAAAAGAGTAAACTTTACCAAAAGAGATTATTTATATAATTTGATACCAATTTTACATGATATGGATTATCTATGTAATAAAAATAAAAAAAAAAACCCTGATTTACTATTGATATCACCAGCCAGGGGATCATGAAAGAAATTCAAACCCTTGACCTTCAGAAGTACAGTAACAATATCAATAGAAATATTAATTAGACAGACCCTTAACATTCTCCTCTGGGACAATCCTTCACAGCAAAAAACTTCTATTATGACATAATTTTCTCTAAAAACACTCAATAAACCGTAATTTTTTTAAAAACTAGGCAATTCCTTTATAATCTTATGGAGTGGAGGTCATTATTCAGTTAGCTGACTGAGGTGGGCCATTGGTCTCACTTTTTCTAGTTAAAGGAGACAACCCATTTCTTAATGTTTCCAATTTCTATCTGATCAAAATTAAAACTTAATATGTAGCTAATTTTATCAGGTTTTAATATTTTAAATTGATTTTCATCATATATTAAAAGCAACTTGGGGGACTGGGGAGATAGCTCGGAGGCATAAGCACCTACCTACTTGGCAAGCATAGGGCCTGCGTTTGATCCCCAGCCCCACATGCCATGCCAGCCCTGGAATACCAGGCATGTGGCACAGGCCCCAGAACTGGGCACAGTGGTACACACCTGTAATCCCAGTCCTTGGGAGGTTGACACAGGAGGAGGAGGATCACTGTGAGTTTGATA